AGTGGTTTTGACAATAAAAGCAGAAATGTTATGTGTTTCAACCTTAATATAAATGAAGTGCTGTAGATACAATGATCCAAATGGATTTTTTTCTCTCCTGGATTTTATGCCTTCCTCTCAGAGACAGTGCTGGTGCATTTACACAGATTAAAGTTGTAGGCTTCAAAGTGAGACTGAGGTCACAGCTTGGTCCCTTAGTTTCTGAGCTCTGTGATAATGGGCAGATTACTGCCTGTGTCCTCATGTGTAAAGCCGAGATGATGAAAATGTGCTTTAGAGAGCAGATATGGATATTGAGATAATACAAAATATTCTGCACATTGCCTGGGACCTAACAAATGTTCCGTATATCTTAAGTGTTATTTCTACTATGTTACTGGAAGTTGAGTATGCCCCAAGTTCTGGGGCCTAGTTTTTGCTTTCTATGAGTTGGCAGTCTAGTGAGAAGGATAAGATTATAAACAGAGTGCAGTATAGTTCAAAAGAGTCTCTGCGTGTATAAGCACTCTGCAAGCTAAGAAGCAAGGATGTTGTAGCCAGAATGATAGTGTGGGATAGCTTCCTGCTGGAGGGGGCCATCTGTGAACTGAGAACTGATGAGTAAGTAGAACTCTGGCAGGAGCTGAGGAGGTGCGGTGGGGAGAGAGGGGTGGGGACGGTGTTGAGAGGCCAGGTAAGCAGTATATGCAAATAACTGAGTGTGAGAGATGCCTTCCCTTCAGGGAGCAGTTTGGTATGAGAGTAAGATGGAATGGAAGAGACCAAATGATGTGCATGAGGTAGGCTGAGGTCAGGTCTTGAAGGGCCTTGCTCGAGAGCCAGCAAGGGATGACCTCAGATGTGTGCTTGAGAAAGATCATACAGAAGTGGTGAGAATGGATTGTATTGAGATAAGAGTAAGAGGAAACAGCTGAGAGGCCAGTGCTGTCAATTATACTAGAGATGACTCTGTGGGTCACAGCTGTGGCAGTGGAGCCAGAACCTTGGGAAATCCCACATGTAAGAGGGATTGAAGAACTGTCACCACTTGCTGAGAACTTTAATTTGAAACTGCAAGTGCAGTTTAAGTTCTGCAATTGCTAAATTTGCAATGAAAGGCCTAGAAAATAACCCATCCAGTCTCATTCTAGAATCACTTTCATTGGCTATACTAATTACCACAGATGATTCTTTGGAGTTCCCAATGGTATTATTTTTGTTTGATTGTGATTAAAATCCTCTCAAGGTGTCTGGAACATGAAAGCAATCCTGGCTATCAAGGAGCCTTAGGATGTAGAAATCAGAGCAGAGAGTCAAATACCTAGAAGCAAAACTATCAACAAAATCACATTGCAGAGGGAATGCTTTTTTCATTCTTGGACTTATTTATATATTTGTAGCTAGTCAGGTTAATGAGAGCCTCCTTTGTTTTCATAATTCTTGAGACTATGCTGTGTTGTAAGATGTTACACTGCCCCTGGTAGGTGAGACAGACCAGGGTCATTTATTTAACAAATATGTACTGAGCACCCACTAGGCATTAGATGTAAGGCAATGGATGAAGCAGACATTGTCTCTATTATAGAGCCTACATTCTAGAAGAGGAAATAAAATGTAATGTATTATCTTGAAAAATGGTAAACATTTCTTACTGCTTCAATGCTTTTAGAGTGAGATGGTAGTATAGGAAAAATGTAATTGTATATTCTAATGTTTTTGTTTCTTATTTGCGAGATTGTGTAGAGGTATTGTAAAGATTACAAGAGTTAAACTATGAAAAATACTGAAGACATAGTGCTTAATTTATATTGGCTATTGTTATGTGATACTTGTCTTATTTCTTCCTTATGTGGATGATTATCTCTAGAATAGACTATCTCCAGAATCCCAAATACAAGCTCCATATGGTACCCAGGCGACCATCATTGCATTGCCCAGATTATAGCAGCCGCCTTCTCCTTTGTCTCTCTGTATCCTTTCTCTCTTTGCCGAATCCTTTTTCCTCCCTGCAGTCAGAGTAAAATTTATGCTCTTGTGTTTCCTATTGCTGCTATTAAAATTACCACAAACCGAATGGCTCAAAACCACATTCTCTTACAACTTTGGACGTCAGTAGTCTCAGTTTCACAGAGCTGTGTCAAGGTGTGGGCAAAACTGCATTCCTTTCGGAAGATATGGGGAGTATCCATTTCTTTGCCTTCCTCTAAATTCTAGAGGCCAGCCAGGTATGGGGCTCACTCCTATAATTACAGTACTTTGGGAGGCCAAGGTGGGTGGATTACCTGAGGTCAGGAATTTGAGACCAGCCTGGACAGCATGGTGAAAACTTCATCTCTACTAAAAATACAAAAATTAGCCAAGTGTGGTGGCAGGTGCCTGTAATCTCAGCTACTTGGGAGGCTGAGGCAGGAGAATTGTTTGAACCTGAGTCAGACTGCATGAACCAAGAATGCACCACTGTACTCCAGCCTGGATGACAGAGTGAGACTCTGTCTCAAAAAATAAAATAATTCTAGAAGCCACTCACATTCTTTGGCTTGGGGCCCTGCATCAGTCTGACATCTGCTTCTGTCATCACATCTTCTCCATTGACTCTCCTGTGGCCTCCTTTCCTTTATAAGGACTCTTGGGATTACACGGGATCCCCCTGGATAATTGAGGACCATCTCCCGGTTTCAAAATCATCTATCACCTCTGTAAAGTCCTGTTTGCCATTTAAGGTAGCATAGTCACAGGTTTCATGAGTAAGGAAGTGCACATCTTTCTGGGTTCATTATTCTGTTTATCCAAAAACTCCTATTAGAACATAATGAGGGAGCATTGGCTTTTAGCGTGAGTGCACTCACCTGCTTAAAGCTTTTCTATGGGTGCCTATCCTCTTTTTATGATTAAAGGTTAAAACCCCTAGGATAGGGCCTCCAGGTTCTGCATGGGCCCTTCTCCTTGCTTGGGGAACTCTGGCTCTGCTTCCTCTCAACCCATGAGGACCTTGCCATGGCCTCTACTTGGACCACCCCTCTCTCCCTTACTCCTCGCCCCTCCTGCTTACCTGCAACCCCCTCCTTGTATTTCAGTTCAAACTCCCTTTTCTTAGAGAACACTCTCAAACCGTCCTTCAGACTCTTCAGCTACTCAGCCTACAGGCTGTCCTGAACTTGGAATTCATTCTGTTTAATGACAGCTTCAATCAGCATTTATTGATTGGTGTTTTTGTTTCATATCTGGGCTTTTTTCTATTGTATCCTCAGTGCTTTTTTCTTTTTTTGTCAGAGTCCTACTCTATTGCCCAGCCTAGAGTGCAGTGGCATGATCTTGGCTCATTTCAACCTCTGCCTGTTGTGTTCAAGCGATTCACCTGCCTCAGCCTCCCGAGTGGCTGGGATTACAGTCATGTGTCATCACACCAAGCTAATTTTTTATACTTTTGGTAGAGACGGTTTTCACCTTGTTGGCCAGGGTGGTCTCAAACTCCTGACCTCAAGTGATCCACCTGCCTCAGCCTCCCAGAGTACTGGGATCACAGGTGTGAGCAGCCATGCCTGGCTGATGCTGATAATGTATTGGTGCTCAGTAAACATTTACTAAAGAAATGTGCTTAAAATGAAAAGGCAGTGCCACATGTAAAGTAGCTCTTGGTTTTATTCATCAGTGTAGTCTTGTTTTAGCTATAGGCAGAATGGGGTTTTGGGTTGTGGTAAGGGTCTGTTCAATAACAAGAGATAGGGGACATTACTGAACAAAGCAACCCAATGTTAACTTTCATTTTCAGTAAAGGTAATCTATGCAGTAATTTTCAGGCCCTTCCATATCTTTAAAAATATCCTAAACACTTAACTGTTCTAACATGAAAGTATAGAATCTCAAAGGCTAAAATTTAAAAATTAAGTCTTTATTCAGAGTATATATCATGGATCAGAGATAGTTGTCTTGGTCTGGGCTTTTGGGCTGTAGAATATTGAGTCTACAGTGACATTTGTCTCCATTAGCACTGGTGTTCAACACGAATCTGCCAGACTTGAATGCAGCAGCAACTCAGTAATGTGGACTACTTGAAGTCTGATATGTCAGTAGGTCCTTCTTTAAGAAAATGTTTTACAGGTTGGGTGGATTGGCTTATGCCTGTAATCCCAACAGTTTGGGAGGCCAAGGCAGGGGGGTCACTTGAGGTCAGGAGTTCTAGGATAGCCTGGCCAACAAGATGAAACCCAATCTCTGGGGGAAAAAAATAAAAACCATAGCTGGGCGTGGTGGCAGATGCCTGTAATTCCAGCTACTTGGGAGGCTGAGGCATGAGAATTATTTGAACCCAGGGGGTGGAGGTTGCAGTGAACCGAGATCATGCCACTGTATTCCAGCCTGAGGGACAGAATGTGACTGTCTTGAAAATGTTTTGCAACAGAAACATTGCTTTGTATATGACTTAATAGAACAATCCTATTTCATGAATTGTAAGCTTTTCCATTTTACTTAAACCTTATTTTTACAATATTAATTACTATGGTTTCTCCTATTTAAGTTACATATTTAGTAAGGCTTGTGTTAGCTAAGTTTTCCAGCTTTGTTGGTATTCAAGTGGTTGACTACCAACTCAGTGGACTTCTTGAAAGTGACAGTCAACTTTTGGATCTCAAAAGTGCTTTGAATCATTTCATTGAAAGGAAAAGTATTTGGAAAAAAAGTTTAAAAGCATATTCTTAATATAGGCTATTTTCTCATACGATACTCTAATTCCAATTTAACTTAAGTAAAAAATGGTATCTGGTAGTACTGTATACTAGACTCTATACGTATACTACATCATGTAAAATATTCTATGTAATGTGAAACACTAGAGCATTAGTATTAATTGCTCACCAATTCTTTTTCATTAACCTCTTAACTAGATATAATAAAAATGCTTAAGACTGACGTATTATAGTTTTTAATCTCCCTATGTAAATATACCAATGCTAGTGATTCAATTTTGTTACTTTAGTTGTCTAAGAATTAACTTATGAAATGTATACATTCTTTCTTTTTAGAGTATTTTGGATAAAGGACATTGTTGTGGTAGTAACTGGAGAGAACATGGAAGTAATGAAAAGTATTATTCAGAAGTATCAGCATAAACGCATCTCACTGGTCGAAGCTGGAGTGACCCGCCACAGGTCAATTTTCAATGGACTAAAAGCACTGGCAGAAGATCAGCTCAACTGTAAACTCTCTAAGCCAGAAATAGTGATTATCCACGATGCTGTGAGGCCATTTGTTGAGGAAGATATCCTCCTTAAAGTTGTCACAGCTGCTAAGGAACATGGGGTAAGTCTTTCTACTTGAGACAAGATAGAAGGGACAAATACTGTAGTGTGGTTGATTTGCTGAATTTTGATACAATTCTGTTTAAATGTCATTGCTTAAAATGTGCATGATGACCTCAAGATGTTATGGTGATTTGTTTTAGGAACTTTGCGGTTTAAGACTGCTCTGGAACATATCTTTTGCTATAGTCATCTACCATAATGTGTTATGAGATATTTGGAAAAGAATGTAGCAATGCTATTACAGTATAGATATAAATGAAACTTTAATGAAAATTAAAATGCAGTTATATTAAAAATGCCTGAGAAATCTCTCAGAAGTAAAGAGTATATATATAATCTGGTTCATTGTACTCAATTTTGTGTTGAAGTTTCAGAAGAGGTTTGTTTTTTGGTATATACTATATTACATTTTCATAGCCCTTAAAGTAAATCATCTTGAGATGACAATTGTTTCCATTTGTTTCACCAAAATAAACACAGGATAGCAAAAGGCCTATTGTAATATTTGGAGCATGTTTATTTTTTACCTTCTATTACCAAGTAAAATGGTATAAATATGGTAATAGATACTAAACTTGTTTGCAGTCTAAATTTGAGACTTAGTGAAATTTATTGCGAAGCAATAGTATTGTATAATAGAAATAGACTATGAAGTTGAACAGACCTAGACCCAGATCTGTCTTTATAATTACTAGTGATGTCATGTTTTTAACTTGCTCAATTTCTAAGTTCATTTCCCTACTTGTGAAAATAAAGAAATGAATACTTGTAAGGTTATTTCAGGACTGGAAATGATGTTAACTATTAAAATACTAAGTACTTAAAGGATATTATTTTAAGATGAATTATAACATCTAAGTAATAGTTTCTGTTAAGATTATAGACCAACAGGAGGCAAGCCTTCCTAGCCATCAGGGCACCCAGGAAGCTTTTTTTTTTCTCTTTAAAACCTGTTTAGGAAAGACACTGTATAACTTCATTTCAACAAGCCATGTGTGTTTGAATTGCCATAGAAAATTTTCTGTAACTCCATCTCTTCCTTCTGCAACATGAATTTCACTTTAAATTTAAAACTGTGTAAGAATTTTATATACCAAATGAAATATTTTCTTTGCCTTTGAACAAAAGGATAAATGGTACTTAAGGTAGTGAAACTTGTGGTCCAGGAACCATTAAAGAACACAAAACTTTCCCCTGGCTCTTGTGCTTCCTCCTTGACTCCTTCCACTTCTCCAGACAGCTCAATTGTGGTAGAGGCAAGGTAATCAGTTGCAAGGGGGGTGAGAAGGCATAAAGACGCAAAGGATTTACAACTTAAGAATTTGAGTAAATTTGGCACATTTGAGTAAGTTCTTAGGGATGACAATACAATTTGGTAGATGGACATTCATTCCAATGCATATTATATTACACACAATTTTCTTTTTTTGGCCTGTGTTACCTTTTGGAAAATTATCACTCAAACTCACTATAATAATTGCACACATTTGGGATTTTTTGTTAAGTAATAAGCTAGAATGCATTTCTGAGCGATTGTTCATAAAGTGATTCTTGTAGTATATCTTAAAAGGCAAAAGAGGCCTTTTATCTTGCTCCAATTTATATGCTAAGGACATCATTGTCTAACAGGTGAGTTAATAATGCATATTAAAATATAAAGCAGTTATTTTTTGCAGATTTGAGGGAGTTCCTATTAAATTGTTTCTTAATCAGAATACAATTTGTAAGATTCAATCACAATGCATTTTAAATGAAACATTATATTTCAATGAAATCTGTAAGTTTCTGATTAGATGAAGAACCTGGTTCAGAACAAAACTTTACAACTTGCTTAAAGTTGTAAACCTCAGAAATACAGTTTCTATTAGAAACATTGCCTTGTTTTGTTGGTGTTAAAACATAAAGGGTAAAATCATGAGTTTGATATACATCCATATTTAAGAATTTTTTAATGTTTATTAATGAGAGAACCAGACACATGTTAAAACTGGTTCAAAGTAGAATCCAAGAAAACATTTATACAATGTAATCAGGTAGGATGAAGTGAATTAAAACAGAAAACTGACTTTTTCATGGGGGAGTCAATTGAAATTCCAAGAGACAGAATTTCTTTGCATGTATATAGGCATGAATTGTTTTGCATTGCTATTGGTTATATACAACTTTGAAAGTTGTTAAGTTCAAGGCTAGATTCAGCTAATCTGGAAGAGTCTGCTCTATAGTTGTCAATTGCAGACACGCAGTAACCTCTTTGGTTTGTTTTAAATTTTCTTAAATTAATATTAGGATAGTGTTCCAGTATTCTCAGTTAACTCCAGGCACTGCATCCTGCCAATTCTTTCACTCTGTACTGACTTACAGTCATAAAAACATAAATGCTGAACACACTGTTCAGACTGGTTTCCATGCCTCCTTTTAACTTATCACCTTTTGTTATCTTAGATTCTTTTCTACAGACTCCTTAACTGATTATTTTTCCTCTTAGGTATTTTCAAGTTCTACTAAAGTTCCCTTTTGACATATTTCCTGAAAAAGTTACACTGTGATTATTTTTTGGGAAGGGGTAGGTTATATAGGTTAACAATAACTCTGTTTTAACTTACGTTCTATTTTGTTTAATTAAAAAAAAAACTAAACTGTTAAAGAGATTGCCTCAAGAGACTCAGATGTCAGGGATTATGGCTGGCATTAAGGTTGAAGAGCTCAAAAGTGTCACAGTTTTTCTTTTAATTTGTATTTCATTGTCAGGCCCTGTGGGGAGGCAAGATGGCTTCCATAAGGCCAGGAGCAAAATTTCATCAGGGTTATTTCTGTCTTACCTAAATGATGATAGTTTGGGTATAAAATTCTAAGTCTACAGTTCCTCCCCACCTCACTACTTACAAACTAGGTTTTGTTGCTGTCTCCTAGATTTTATGCTGTTTTTGAGAAGACTAACCAACCTATTTGTATTCCTTGGAAAGTAATTGGCCTTTTTTTCTGAATGCCTTTAAGATAATTTATTTTTTCTAGATGTTAGTCTCTAGGATGTGTCTAGATCCTTTTTTCCCTTGCTTCGGATTTATTGTCCTTTGTAAACTTTGGTTCATATTTTTATTCTAGAAAAATGTGAATTGTCTAATTTGAATTTTGACTCTGCCCCATTTCTGGTCCTGATAACTCTTTTCCCCTCCCCTTAGGTATACTTTATGTATGATACACTCTTATTCAGTCTTCTATGTCTTAAGTTCTTTCATATTGCTGTTTTTGTATGCTGCATCCTAGGTAACTTGTTTCCTAATTCTCTCTCTCTTTTTTTTTTTATAGCTCTTCCTAATCTCTTGTTTATGGACTTTTAAAACATTTTTTGATTATTTGGAGTTCCATTTTGTGCTTTTTCATGTATGATTAATCCCCTTTCTGTTTTTGATATTCTATTGCCTTTTAATCTCTGAACATAATACTTTAGCACTTCTTGGTAGTTTAATTCACTGTTGATTTCTGTGTACTTTTGCTCGTAATTTGTTTCCTCCTTTGTTCTATAATTTGTGTTGTAAGCCCATGTTTGGCAAGACTTTATCATAAGGAGTTCTGCTAACATGGGATGAGGGTATGTTTCTGAGGCATGGATTTGTGTTCCTTCTGTCAGAGATTGAAAGGGCTTTATCAACTTGGAACAACTTTACGTTAATTCTTGGCTTGAAGTTTTATAGATTCTGCAGTAATGTTAAATGAAACTCTAAACTCATGAAGCCAAGCTGATTGTTACAACTTCTCAGGGAAAATTGTCTCTACCCTTACAGCTCCCAAGCCAAGACAGTTTTGCTTGCTGTTTTCCTTCACTTGTGTTGGGTGTCTCTCCTTCGCTTCACCCAACTCCCTTTTAAATAAGGACTTTCCCCTTAATGGGTCTTCATGTGGAAATGGCCTTTTCAGTCAGGAAGGGTCTTTATATAAAGATTGAGTTTAACCAGGTGGCCAGTGATTGAATCAGTCATGCCTATAGAGTGAAACCTGGAACTCTGGACCCTGGTCCAGGAGAGCTGCCCGGTTATTGAACACAGTGGCTTGCTAGAAGACTGATGATGCACCCTGATTCCACGGAGACAGGGCATGGAAGGTTTCGGATTTCCCCAGACCTCGCTCCTGCGTGTCTTCATTTGGTAGTTGTATCCTTTGTAATTAAAACCATAATTATAAATTTATCATTTTCCTGAGTTTGGTGTGTTGGTCTAGTCAGGGGGTTCCAATATTTTGGCTTCCTTGAGCCACACTGAAAGAAGAATTGTCTTGGGCCACACATAAGTTACACTCACACTGATGATAGCTGATGAGATGTTTGCAATATTTTTAAGCTTAACATGTTTTAAGTAAGTTAATGAATTTTTGTTGGGCTATATTCAAAGCAATCCTGGGCCACATGCCACCTGCAGACCATTGGTTGGACAAGCTTGCTTTTGGGAATTACCAAACCTGAGTAGAATTCTAGGAACCTCCTGGATTTTGTAGCAAGTTGATCAGAAGTGTGCGTGGCTCATCTGTGGATGGTGTCTGAAGAGCAGGCAGTTTTTTCTTTTTTTTTTGGAGATTATATTCTTTAATTTGTAGAGTCTCTGCTAACGCTAGGTGGTTATGATCAGAATCGAATTATACTGTACCAGTTGGGGTTGAAACAATGAGTCCTTGTTAAATTTGAACTCTTTAACCAGCATTTCCTTTTTGGAATTCTCGTCCTACCTTGGCTTCTCGATTTTCTGTAATTCTTGTTTTTCTTACTTTTTTGATCACCTCTTTTCAGAAGCCTCTTCATATCCTCTGTATGGTTCCTTTAACTTCTGTTATCGCTAAACTATCTCTGAGAAACCTAAATCACACTCATGCTTTATTAACTTTAACACATATAGTAAAACTCACTGTTTCGGTTGTATTGTTTATCAATTTTTAAATATGCAGATTCTTGTTAACCAATACCACAGGTAGGATGTGGAGTGATTCTAATGCTCTGGAGAATTCCCTCCT